AAAAAAAAAAAAAAAAAAAATCTCAAGCCATTTTTTGTTGTGATAATCATGTTGGAAAATCAATAATATAAAATTGGGTATGATCCGGTTTTGACTAATTTTTTATGGCTAAATATTTGATTTGGGATGAATTAAATCGTGTCGAAAAAATTTTACGTTTTTGCTACTTTCCCACTTTGGGAAAATTTCTTTTTCTATTTTTCTCTCCATATTTTGTGTTATGAGCTTTATGACTCTAATTTTCCGACAAGATTCTGGGGACTTAATTTTATTGCAAGTTTCGAACTTTTCCATCCGGTGTGCTTCACACATGCATTAGGAGGTGAGTAATTACACACATGCATTAGGAGGTGAGTAATTATTGTTGTAAATATTTTCCAGAGTAGAATCGAAAGATTCGGACACCGGGTCGTGTCTCTCGAGGAAGGTCAGCCGGGTTATTGTGTACGATTATTCAAACACGAAAAGAAATAAAATACCTAAACATACTAATTCAAATGATTGGGTTTGATTTAATTATCTACTAGCACGAAAATTTAAATGAAGCAGTAAAAATAGCAAGCAAAGACGAAGAACAAATAGGATTTAACGAGCTAGGGAGTCGGGGATATTCGTTTTGGTTCGAAAATGCAATTGATGGACAAGAGATTGTTCAGCTAAGCGATTCGAGTAACCCACATGTTCAAGCACTCATTCTCAATAACTTCTCGTAACAAGAGAACGAACTAGAACAGCAGATTATCAATTCATTTAACTTCTAGGCAATACAATTACGAACAAGCCTAGTTCATACGAGTCTATTTCGACCGACTCATCCCCTATCGATTCAAAAAGTCGATTAAAGAAGGATAGAAGATGACTAATCAACTAGCTCGTTTAGAGTTTTCGAAATCTTGCACGCATTAAACGAATTCAATTAAAATAATTGGACGTTGAAGTGTCACCCTTCAACAATTCGCAAAATTCGAGAACAATAATCAAAAAACCCTAAAAAAAGAGCAACTCGTACAACATGAACAATCTCAAGCCCGACAATCACGAACGAATTAAAACATCAATCCCCTAATCCCTAGCATATTGATTTAGCTATTCATAATCGAATTAACAATCAAAATCATAATCATCAAAATCATGGAATCCATATTCATCAAAAGAGAAGATCTTACGATTGTTAAAATCCGAAAGGCCGATTCGATAGACAAGATTGAATCCCAAAAGCAATAGCAAATCCGAGATCAAATCCACGTTCCCATGCGAAATTATTGAAAGTAAAGATGAACTAATCCGTTTTTCTAAGGGTAAGCCACGAAAAAATAAAACCTAGGCTGCCAAGAAAATGATCTCCTCACGAGTTCACAAAACAAATTTTAAAAATCTGCTACGCGCAACTCACGGCCGCAGAGAGG